CTTGAGGGCGATGCACATGAGTGATGGACGAACACGTCTCTCGTCTATGAGATGTAGGGTCATGTCATCACATGGCCATTCTTTGAGGATTGCTTCCTGGGTAGATATTTTTCCTATGATGCACAGGAGAGAAACAAGGAGAGTTTGACCGTTTGGTGCAAGGCTCGTTGACTGTGGACGAGTACTTGGCTAAGTTCAATGAGCTGGCCACGTTTGCACATTTCCGTATTGCTATGCCGTCCCCGAGGAGATAGTTGATCGCATCGCTGGTGCTGCATCTAGAGATTTCGGCACGTTGGTTCAGCAGTGCCGGGATATTGAGGACATTTGTATTGTGAGCAAGGCCAAGAGGGCCAAAGTTGCTGAGGTTAAGGGAACTGATAGTTCCACTTCCTGGAAGGACATAAAGTTTGCTGGTAAAGGGAAAGGGAAGCAGTTGGCTGTTAGGTAGGCGCCGAGTCAGTTTAAGAGGACCTCTACATAGTAGGGAGGTTTTGCTAGACCTTCTTCCACTCCTAAGTGTACATGATGCGGAAAGAAGCATTTGAGACGATGTGCTACTGGAGAGTTGCTATGTTACAAGTGTGGGAAGAGTGGTCATATATCCAATGATTGTTATACTTCAGTTGTTAGGGTTGCAGCTGTTCAGGTGTCCCCTCTTCAGATGATTCCCTCTCCACCTAAAGAGGCACCTGTTGTGCCACCTGCCGCTGGCCGAGTTTACACATTGGATAGGCAGCAGTCGGACAGAGCTCTGTACCTTGCGAGAGATATAACTCATGTTGGAGATACTGTGGTGATGTATTGTTTGACTTAGGGACGACGCACTTATTTATGTCGAGTCCGATTGTTGTCGGGCGGAACTTGCCCATATTTGAGCTTTCTCCATTTCCGAGGGTTATTACCACTACAGAAGATAAATATGATACTTCATTTGTTTATACAGTGTGGTACTTTAGTTGGATGGCCGAGACTGCGTTGCAGATCTTAATTGTCTACCCATAGTCAACCTTGAGATCATTTGGGTACGGACTGGCTGTTGAGAAATTGTGTGTTGAATTATTGTGATTGCATACATGATGTATGAATTATGTTTATACATTGACTGTTGTATTGAAGTGTTTGATAACCTGAGGAACTAGGTTGATTGAGTGGGTTATTGGCCATCAGCGTATTGTGGACTATCCCTGGAGGGGATGTATCCGAAGAGGGTGCCTCTGAGGAGTTTGTTTGGACGCTCAGTTAATGTGTGATTCGTTGAGTGGTCCTTGTGTCCGAGGTACGCAGATGACGGGTATGCCAACTAGTTGGATGTGGTATAAGATTTCTCCCAATTTAAGGATGTCATGGGCATTAAGTAAAAAGACACACTCTTAAGGCAGAATGCCCATTACAAAGGAGCTATAAGATTTCTCTTTGTCTAGTGCCTAAACCCAAGCTTAGCCACCTATATAAATTATTTTACGCATATAAGTGTTCTCACTTTGCGAAATAATATCTCCGAACATATACCTCTTTTGAAAATGGCCAAAACTCATTTTAAGGCCATACAAAGGAGCTACCTTATTTTCTTTTTAATTTCACCAAAGCGAAGGTCCATACACCTTAGAATATTATTCCACGCATAAAAGTATGCTCGCTTTGTAAAATAGTAACTCATAGCACATACTTCCTTTGAAAATGGCCATAAACACATATAAGGCCCAAAGAAGGAACTTATTCATTTTTATTTTTAGCTAACCCAACCAAAGGTTTAAACATCTAATCATATAGTCCTTAAACCATATAAGTGCTCATTAACACAAACAAGCACTCTAAAAACATACTTCCTTTGTAAATGGCTAAGAGGCACATAAAGGAAACATGGCAACTTCATGATTGCAATGCTTTAGTTCATCAAATTCAAGCTTATCACACACATCTAATCCAAGATTCATTAATTCATATATACGGTACTGTTCATCTCTACAGTACTATTTATGTACATGTCACTATTTACGTATACGACACTATTCAAAAATACGGTATCTTAAATTTTCCAAAAATATTTTCACCGTTAAAATTCTCATTTAAACACTTTTCTCAACATGAGCTAAACCTGAATCAAGCTCTAACATGCTCAATCAAACCAAATTTTCAAAATGAAAACCTAAATTCAATCTTCATAAAAACATGAAAGGAAGAGAATTTCTTACCACAATGCTCTCTAGAACAAAGGAGAGATGAGTTTCTAAGCTCCCATGGCCTCAAGCTCCATCAAAATCCATCTTTTCCATGAAATTCGAAATCTTTGGGGGAGAAGATCTCTCTCTACAGTGAACCCCACCCAGAAAAACTGGTACCAATAGATTCCTCTCAAAATTTCTCACAAGTTTGGCTTTGGAACGGAGTGATTTGAAGGTCTCTAGCTCAAGTTATCAAGGATTGAAGCTCCCTCAAGCTTTTTTTTTTCCTTTTCCTTCCCTCTTTACTCTCTGTATCGTTGCCTGGAGAAGAAGAAGAATACGAGGCTTTTAGTCAAATTTCACTTACATAGGTTAAATGAAATTTAACTGGGTAAGAGCTTATCTATCTAATCACCTCTATTCTTTGCCAAACTTTACCCAATGGACTAGAATATTTTTTCAGTCATATTTCTAACTTTACTTTCACTTTTCGGGTAACTTTGTTTACCTGCATTTTTATCCCTTAACTGTCATTTTAACTCATTTTTCACCAAAGGTGACTTTATTTCTTTTACTTCTAATTATTCTTCAATATTAAATTCACAACTACTAGTGAGGGTTATTATATTCTCCTCTTCCCAGAGTTGTTGTTTTTCCTCCAAAGTGATTAGAAAAATCCTAAAGTGTGTGTTTTATAATAGAAGATCCATAGACTTCAAAATGACGTTGCTCGCTAAGTTTTCACGAGCTGCAGCAGATACCAAAAATATTGTTTTAATATTTTGGGCATTACATGAGCTATACTTGTTTGTTGATGTGATCTTGGTCTCGTTGAAAAAATGAAAGAGATATCTACAACGTCTATGAAGAACATGAGATCCAAATCCATCATCTTGAAAATTAAAAATTGGTTGGAAGATAGCTTTGGGGAGATTTTTATTAAAAGATTGCTACTCATTTATTGCTTCAAGTCCTTCTAGCTTAATCATTGCTTCATTGCTCCATAATAGCAATTTAAACCTGAAACCAATATATTTCTAAGTCACTATCATATCAAACACGAGAAACTCCAAAATACTAACGAGCTCAGAAGTCAAGTACGAAAGTAGAGAAGAAGAGCGACCTCATCTTGCTTCTGGCGAAGCTTTTAGAAGCACTTCACTTCATAGGAGCTATAACGAAGCTATAAAAAGGCAAAGTTTTTAACCATATTCATCAATATTAAGCACATTTTGGTCCTAATAACATAGTGTGTTTAACGTCTAACAATGACGTGCTGCTTTAGCTAGCTAGGACGTGGGTTAGAAGGACAATCGTGCAAAATCCTCGAAAGTTCAACAAGAGAATCATCCTCAATGTCGAAATCTTCAAGTTCAATAACAGTTTCAAATAATGTTAATCATCTATATAATTTATGATGGAGACACAAAGTAAAATTAAGATATATACCCTCGCTTTTTTACGGCAGTAAGTGAGATAAATGGCAATGTAAATTGTCTCTATCACACAACCGAATGCATCTATGGTGATGAATTGCGTTTCTGCCGTCTTCACAAAGGCATAAAAAATCCAAAGCATTAATTGCACTGAAGACTTAACCTTTATCATACCAAGTGCAGTGCATGAACCTAAAATATGTACCATCCAAGTATTATAAAATTTGTTGTATGTAGTGGAGCATCCTAAGCTTTCTATTGATGCATTAATCAAAGGGAAATAATTATCTCATGTTGCATGAGATAATTATCTCATGCAACAGAGACAAAATAGTGGGATCCATTATTTTTCTTTTTTTTCTTTTTTCGAAAAAGTAGTGGACCCCACTATCTTATCTCTGTTGCATGAGGAAATTATCTCATGCAACATGAGATTAATAGATCCCTGAATCAAAACATCAAAATATCATGATTATAGTGGGATAAACTGTACCATTAGTTTTATTTCAGCTGAACCATCTCACACCATATTCCTACAATATATATTAATAGAGGAAGGATCCGTTTACAAACTTTTTTTTACAAATTATACTAAGTATGACGGTCATACACTCTTGATTGAAGTATGACCAGTCATACTTAGTGTAGTTTGTAACAATTTGTAAACAAATTGTTTGTGAATATAACATTCCCCGTATTAATATCCTTCCATACCCCACATGGTTACATATTTCTCTTAGTCATCTTAGGAGGCCAAGGGATACATTATTTATCTGAATTGTTTGTAGTATACAGAATTTAAATATGTGAGGATACTTAGACAAATTTTAAAAATCCCATAGCAACTCATATACCACTACAGATTTATTTATATCTTGTCAACATCTTGCAATATCTCAGTTGGGTCCATGCCATTACATTCTAGACATTATCTTGAAATATACCATTTACAAATTTACAATCCTTAACCGTTGATCTTTATCAAGAAAAATATATTCCCCACCTTTTATTTATACGGGTATTTTGGCTTGGCATATATAGGTAAAAATAATTCATACGGTGATTGCGTTATTGACTAAATCTGGTGTTATATAACTATTATTTTTATTTATTTCTGTAGGAAGAGTTACTTTTCATGGGATCAAATCGACAGCTTAACAAATCACTCCCACAATTTAGGAGGAGGGAAGAAAGGCTAAGCGCAGAGCAAAACATATAATAATTATATGCTCTAATTGATTAGATATTTGCGGCGAATTGGTCGTTTGAGTGGCTCTGTGTCGCTTTCAACTTTTTAATTTTTTTATCTCTTATTGCAATAATAAAAAAATTTATGTACCAAAAGAAAAAGAAAAAAAACAGCACAAAAAGAAGAGTCTTCATGCAGAGTCGATCAGAGCCTATAGAATATATCATCTTAGTTAGGGAAATATTTCTATGAACTTCCCTATAAATAGGGGCATAATTGATTAGCTTGAGGTAAACAAAACAGAAATTACATAAAAAGTTAACCAAAATAAGTTAAAGTGTAGGGGTTTAGATAAAAGTATCCACCCCGTTTCTTTTACAACTTCAGACGTAAATTGAACATCATACTTCTATAGAGGTTGAGGCACAACACCCTCACAATTGGTCTTCCATCAAACTTTGTTACTCTCCCTCTCCCCTGTTTCTATGTTGTTGTTGTTGTTGTTGTTGATATTAATATTGTCGTTGTTGTTGTTGATATTAATATCGTCGTTGTTGTTGAGATCAGTTTTGTCATGAGTAACTTGGTTATGAACAACTTCGTGTTGTTGCTGCAGATCTTGCTTCTCTTCCTTCTTCTCCCCAATCTCAATATCTCCTTTCTGAGGGCCCACTTCCAGTTTGTCTTCAGTCTCAATTGGAGCTATGTTTTCATTGTTGATATCCCCTTTGTGTTCTGGGAGCTTCTGATCCTGTACGGGCGTGTTATTTCTGTACATTGCATAGAGTACCATCTGAACCATTCCAAACGTTAACCCCACAATGTTCGGGAGCTGTCCAGAGAAAGAAAAAAAAAAAAAAAAAACAGAAGACAATGTTATGAATTATCCATAAAGACAAAATTGTAGGTGCTAGAAAAGAATCTCTAGCCAAATTATTATGAATATGATGGGGACTTACTGCAACATAGATATCTTTTAGAAAAACACCGTATAACAGCCACATAATTGCACTTATAGTGAGGAGAACTGAAAGAGGAAAAGGAAGGAACTCCACGCTTTTTGTTCTAATAACCACCCTCTGAAATTGAACAAAAATTAACCATGCATACATGATTAGCATATAAATATATATAATTAAATATCAATTAGGAGTTGCGGTAAAATTGTTCCTTGTAACCTGGTCATAGGATTTGAGATTTAATAACAAAGGATATGAATAATTAAACATGATTATGAAAGTTGTAACATGTGATTAATTAATTAAGATGTATACTCACCATTATGCTTAAAGGTGCTGCAAAAACACTAGTTGAAAAGACAACGCAAATCCATCCAAGAAGCTTGAGACGAGCTGGTCCTTTAGCTAGGACGTGGGTTAGGAGAACAATCGTGCAAAATCCCCCAAAGTTTAACAAGAGAATCATTCTCAATGTCGACATCTACAAGTTCAATAACAGTTTCAAATAATGTTAATCATCTATATAATTTATGATAGACACACAAAAGTAAAGGTCAGGTATATTAAAATATGTTATGTACCCTAGCTTTCCTTGGGCAGTAAGCGAGATAGATGGCAAGGTAAATTGTCTCTATCACACAACCGAATGCATTTATGGTGATAAGAAGCGTTTCTCCAGTCTTCACAAAAGCATAAAAAATCCAAAGCATTGCACTGAAGAGTGCAGCCACATATGGAATTGATTGGAACCCTTCAGTTGATTTCTTCTTACAAACTCTACGAAATGTCGGTCTGCAAAATATGCATGTGTTTATTTTTAAATTTCGATTAGTATCTAAAGATTAAATATAGTTTAAATTTCACAAATATAAATGAAAAGTAGTTTGAAAGAATAAACATTTATACTTACACTGGTGCCATAAAGCTCACGAAGGAGGCAATGTTACCTGCAGCATTCACAAGTAAGATAAGGAAGAAGAAAATTATATGAGTTCATCTTTCTGTCACCTTATAATCAAGGTCTTAAATTGAAATAACTATTGAAACTTAATAAGAGGATATATACAGTAATGAAAAGGAAGAGAATGCAAATGAAATTTCTGTGTAAATACCTAGAATCCCAAAGACGAAAACTATAGGACTGTGGGTCATGATGGTTTTGGAGTCTAACTCTCTCTCTCTCTCTGTGTCTTTGATTTTTCCCTTATGTGAAGGGGGAGAAGGAAGGTTTGAAGGGAAACTAGCTCTATATTAGTTTCAGTCTCACATGCAACTCTGCAAGACGAGTGTATAGATACCCTATATATATAGGGAGTGGCTGGCTCATGCATGGGGATTGGGGGATGCTATTTTGCATGGACATAAAACTATGAATGAGTGATGATTGCTTTCCAAGATATTGCTTTCAAAGCAACAAAAGCTAAGCGAAAATTTCTTTAATGCTTTAGGGTGAAATTTCTTATTCTATATTATTTGATGTAAATAACTTCATAAATAACATTAAAAACATTATTAATATGAAAAATGATAATGATCTATATAACTAAAATACTGAAGGGAACAGTATGCAAAAAAAAAAAAAAAAATACTCAAGGGAACAAAGAAAAATAAAATATAATAATTCATAGTCTGTCACACTTAAAAAAAATATCGAGCCAACCACCCAATATGATTGCCAAATCAATATATATTATTGCAAGTTGTAGGTACAGTGTCTTCTATAATTAATACTTGGGCCACCCAGTTACTTAACCGCACGTTACGTACCCAAAATGCTTTCTCCTTTCTTCTCGCAACCTCAAACACTTCCCTCCCTTTCCTCACGTGACTCATATCCTCATCTCCATTATTTCCATTTCTTCCCAACTTAATAAATTTAGACATTTTTTTTAAGAATTAAAATTTCTCATCATTCTCTTTTTTATTAATAATTTAACAAGAATATTGTTAATAAACAAATTCAGAATTATACTTCTGATAATTTGTAATAACTTTTTTAATAATATTTTATTTAAGGGATAAAATTGAAAACAAAAATAAAAAAGATAATAAATAATTTGATCTCCCTTTTATTTTTTTGTTGGTAATTAATATTCATTTTAATTTATATATATATATATATATATATATATATATATATATATATATATATATGTAGGATCCTTTGATACCAGTGTCAAATTTTAAATTTGACACCTCATCTGAGAGCCATTAGATCAAAAAAGATCAACGACTCTAATTTGTAAGCATGTGACACCATTAATCTTTTTTGATCTAATGGCTCTCAGATAAGGAGTCAAATTTAAAATTTGTCACTGGTGTCAAAGAATCCTACCTCATATATCATATACTTAATAGACTATAGACTATAGTGGCACTTTGATATTAACATGGCCGCCAAAGACCCCTAACCTAATCATCCCCACTATTATGAAAAGTAACCATTAGGACACCAAACTTTCAAGATTTAGAGATGAAAACACGACACGTGTAAAATGAGAGATAATCATACACTTATACTATCATTCAAAAAAATATAAAGAACTAACTCAACCCAAAATTTTAAGATGTTGGGTAAGGATCTTTTTAATAGTTTATATTATTCTCTAATATATCCCTTCATGCAAGAGCCCTTTAGGCTTGAAGTGTGAATATTATACCGACCAAATTTTTGGTTTTATCTTATGTTTATTTTAATTTCACTACAGAGCAGGGGAGATGAGGATCAAACTCTTGACCTTGTGGTTATTAAGCTCTGATACTATGTAAAGAACCAACTTAACCTAAATCCTTAAGTGTTAGATGAAGATTTTTTAATGATTTATATTATTCTTTAACACATGTACTATATATACTTATGCTTTTGCATCTATATAGCACCGATATCGATACGGGACACGTGACACAGCACGACACGATACTTCGACTTGTTAATTCTAAAAAATGTTAGGTTTCGACATGTTAGGACACGTTTTGATATTAAATATTATTTTTAATTTATGTAATGTATATTACATTTTATATTCAATAATTTAACAAAAAAATAAAATAAAACTCATAATATTCATCAATTTTCAAAGAAATATAAGATATCCCAAATATTTATATTAAACTCAATAAAATGGTAATCGTGACTAAAAATTCAACACAACGTAACCTTTGAATCTTTATTTTTTAATTTTGTAATGCGTGTTGATATTTCAGAGAGTGTCAGAAGAAAGTGTCGAACACGATATGTCAAGATTTTTAAAGTGACTCTCCTTCTTAACTTTGCAGGTTAGCGAGTAGTAATATTTTTATTTTAATTTGCTTTGTGAATGGCGAGTGATTCATATATATATAATATATCTAACCAAACTGTAGTTTGTTATTGCGCTCTATCTCACACCTTTTGACTATCACGCGTGAAACAGTGGAATTCAAAGTCCTTCGGATGATTAAACCAAGTGTCACCCTCTGATCGGATGACAATTATACGTATCCACTAGTTTGATAATATTATAGGTGAAATACACCGCCTGATTTGTTCGATAGTACAAAGGTTATTAGTTTGGATGAATATTAAATTTAAGAGAGGGGAAAAAAGTGACATTTGTGAATTGTTATTATCTTTTGCAGGACTCCTAAGTGGTAGGTGCAGAGTTTTAAAATATGGGGCATAACGAGCAAGATAACATTTTAAGATTTCGTATATCCATACTTTAGCTTAGCGTATCTTCCATGATTAGCATTAATTACGTTTCCCATGGCTTTCAATAATTTATTCACTTCTAAATTATAGGACTGAGATATTTTGGGATGACAAGGCCCAAGGTGATGATTACCGTTGTTTTTTTTTTTTGGTAAGCGATGATTAGCGTTGTTGTTCCTGCACGTACATGTACGATTCTAATATAATTCTTTGAGATTTTCTAAATTAATCTTTTAAAAATTAACTGAATTATTATATTATTCATTTAATATTTTATTATTAATTAAATTTTTTCTTAGTGGTGACATAAAATATTTAATCATTATTTATTTATTTTTTTAATAAATCTCAGGTATTCTCCACAAAGATAATTCTATTTGTAGCGAGTCCAGAATTAAGATTTCAAATCCCTCCCAGAGATGTACTGGGAGGATAAAAAACACATGCTCTTATCTTTGACTGTTTAGTTCACATACGTCAACTGAGCTATCATCTTTTTGAATTTAATGATTATCTCTTAGTTTTGAAGAATAAATTTTGTTAAAAATTAATATAATAATACACTAAGATTTAAAGAATTAGTTGAATAAATTTAAAAAAATCATATTATATTATTTAGATTTTAATTTTTAAATATACTCATTCTAGTTTTTGAAAAAAAAAATTAAATAACTTTTTTATGTTTTTTTTAAAATATTTAATTATTCTAAATTTTGAAACTTGTTTTTTTTTCCTTAAAGAACCACAAATAAACGGACGCTTATTTTTTTCATGCATGGGAACTGTAATATATGTTTTGGTGTCGTGTTTAGAGACTCAGCAATTATTGATTAACAGTCGCAATGGCTCAGCTGGCTTCAACAATGTCCCGAACTAACTCCACTTTTGAAAGTTTCAAAGTTCGAAGCTTTTACACACACTTTTTGTGGAGAAAGTGTGTTTAAAATGATGGTTAAAGCAACAAGGAACTAATCATATTTATGTTAAATGTGTTCCATGGGGTTTGTTTAGCTAGGTTGCCGGCCCATAGTGGCACCAAAAATGTATATTTTTGTTGATTGTGGTAATTTGTTGGATTGCTACTTCCTTTAGTGCATGCATGTGTTTTAATTTGTACATAAATTTGAATTCTTGACGCCAACCACTAACAATTTGTACAGGAAAGAAATGTGATCGTGCGTTTAGTGGAAGAACTGTAATTAGTCAAAGGATTTCTTCGTTTTTTGTTTTTGTTAAACATATTTTGAAAAAGTTAAAACTTTTATCTGCCCCGAAAGGGATCTTAAACAAACGCGTTGTACGTGAAATGGGTGATTTGGCAATTGGCACTAAAAAAGGGGTCCGTGTTACATAACCTGACGAACTTAATTATAATTTAAATTCATACGTGTATATAGTCATGTGGTAAAGGCGGTTTTATCAAATTTCCATCACTCGCCATGTATGATTGATTGATTATATAACTGAATAATTATTTAGAATGTTTTTTGGATTTTATTTTTGTGTGGCTTATAAAGCCAAGAACTTTGTCATGCATGATGTTTTGGTCTTTGGGGTTTCTTTCTGTGTGGCTCATCATAGGTGGACGGACACCTGGAATCAGCTCGAATTTCCTGAAAGAGTCAGCATGGGATGACTTGATTGAAATGAACATTGACCAATGCCATACTGCTAGCTAATACTCGAACTTTCGTCTTCTCTCTAGTCTTGTACCAAGAATGCGACACTCCCCGAATCTGAAAATCGAAAATTAGCTAAATTATTTGAGATACTTGTCTTTGTACGTTGACACTTGGAAAATTCTAGATAGAAATGCTGAGTAATTAATGAACAGTTGAACACACCATATATATAGAGTGGGATCAACTTCATCTATTACAGAACGCGTTATAATTGATAACTTCTGTAAAATCGGAATTTTCCAAAACCAAGAAAAATGAAAATAAGAAAAAACCATGTGATATAAAAACTTAATAATTTAAATATTGATATGAGATATAAGAACAGTAAGTTTTAACAATTAAGTATTATACAAATAGTCAAAATTAACTATTAAGTAAAAATTACATCATCATTTTAAAAAAATTATTTTAACTACATATTTACTCATTTGATACAACAAACCTTTGGCTGAATTATAAATATTTCCTTAGTTGAATTCTTTTGACAAATTATTTATTAATTAATGTGAAAAGATATATCTCGTGCATCATTCTCATACTCGATTCATACAAAAAGCAACACATATCTACTATGTGTTCTGCTCTGCAAGACATTCATCCCTCCCATACGCATTCAATTCTTGCACTTCCTCATGCACGTCTTGCATACAAGACGCCTGATAGGGGGTGTTTGATAAATTGTGTATGAGAATATATATTAGTAATTTGAACGCACACTTTTAGGTTATGTAGCACCGATATCGACATGTGACACGATACGACACGACACTCTGACATGTTAATTCTAAAAAATGTTAGATTTCGATAAGTTAGGACACGTTTTGATATTAAATAATATTTTTAATTTATGTAGTGTATATTATATTTAATATTCAATAATTTAACAAAAAAATGAATCTAAACTTATAATATT